TCGATCTGGTTTCTCGTAGTCACCAGGCCAACTGGAGAAAAAGTTGTAGCAGAAAATTGAATGTGTCCGAAAATTAGAACTACTGGCAGAAAATTCACCAGAAACGAATCGGAGATGTGAAGTATTCTAAACTAGTCGGAAATTCGAAAAGCTCCCCGAAACCTGACACAACCCGAAAATTCCAATCAACAGAAAGTTTAGGTTATCCGAAAATTTGATTAGACGAAAATTTCTGAATTCTGTCAGAAAATTGATGAAACCAACATAAAATTCTAACAGACAAAATATTCATTACTATGCAAAATGTAATAATATGTCAGAAAATCAAAAATTGAATAATGACGGTAATCACCCACCACAGAAAACGCGTTTTGTCCTTCAGCCGTCAAACCCAGGCCTCCTCTACATTTAATTCTGCGCTACCATCCCTTCTCGCTCATCGACTCACCACCAGGAAGAGGCCAAGAACACGTTGACCAAATTAACTATTGTTTTGTGGTGCAACATTTTTCTTCAATATGTCACTAACTTGGATCACGTGCCAATTATCCTATGAGTCTGAGTCAGCTAACATTATTTAGCGTATGCCAAACAGACCATTCATCTTTCCCTGAGTGAGACTGAATTTTGCTACGAGAGTAAGATTTTATTTGCGTTTTTCTGATTTCGAATTTCAAATTTCCTATAGATCGAGTAATTATTTAAGCTTGGATTAATATCATACGGTTTGCGGTGGTCGTCTGAGCATACCAGTTCCGAGTAAGGAAAAAGTTCTGATACGGCAACATGTCCACTAAGCTCTGCTGAGCCTCCAAAATGATTCTGCATAACGGTATTCAGGTTGTTACTAAAAAGGCAGATCAAATTTTATTTTGATAGGGATTTGTTCCACCAACCGATTACACTAAGCTTTATTAAGCTGACATGCATTTACCACCAAACCTTTTGTTTTTATTCCGCCATTGATGCAGAGGATTGTTATCGCAGGATTTACCAGAAACGTAAAAGCAGTCCTTTCTTAAAATTATCGCGGAAATATCAAAAGTCGCAACAATAGTTTCAAAGACCTGTGTTTCACCTACCGTGGGAAACATAGGCATTATGAAAACATGACATGTTACATGAATGGCTCGCTTGAAAATGCGATGGTTTTGGGGGTCTTCGTTTTCTTGCCTTGGGCCTTTGTTTTTCTCTCTTAGGGGTCTTGTTTCCATCTTCGTTCTTTCTTTTACCACTTATCTTGTGTTGTCGTTCTGACAGTTTGAGCCAAACTCGTTCCCAGGGCCTTTTCCCTTACCCTCGCCCCACCCCCAGCTAAGGGAAAAGGCCCTGCAAACGAGGTTGAGTTTGAGCTTCCTCGTGCCATCGGCCATCACCTCCCTTGCACAAGGTAATGGGTTACGCAACACTCAATCAAAATAGACTTCAACACGATCAGTGGCATAATTAGGGGTTAGTGGGTGTTTTTTCGCCTGCAAATTTTTCCGTGATTGTTCGTTATTAACTAGTTCAATGACAAACAAGACGATTCGTGTAACACTTAAGACACTTAAGGCTTGAGCTTGATCTCTTGATTTCAAGTAGAAAACAATCTGCAAGCAGAGAAAGCAAATCTTTGTAGTCTCATGCTTTAACCTGTTGTGTTTTTTTGTTTGTTTGTTTGTTTGTTTTTTTATTTTTAATTCAGGCTGAGAGAGCGTTCTCGTGCAGCATACGAATCTCTGGCAGCCAACATGCCTGTATGTTCTGCGTGGCTAGGAGAAATCTAGGACCACATGGGTGTGGCTATGGGGAGGGGGATCCCAAGGGGGGAATCACAATGTGACTCGTTTTCTATATTTGAAAAGTCATAGGGGCAGCGTTACGCCAGTGTAGGGCCTCCCACCCTCCCCCTTTTCCCCCTTTCCCCCCTCCCTTTCCTGCCTCCTTCACTCTCCTAAACTGGCAAATCTCACTCCTTCCTTGAGTCCTGTTCCATGGTCAAGTGGAGAGAGAAACGAACGTTGATGAAATTGCGTGGTTATGGAGACAAGAATGGTAAAATCCCGTCTTTAGTCGTATTATCTTATTGTCTTAGTAGCGTGCAGCGCCCCACAAGTGTCATCCATTCTACCGAGACAAAAGCGCTTATCTAAGGATTATCCACTGAGATTATTTAACAGCAGGAAATAAAACGATTAGTAATGCATCTAACCTAGTCTACCTTTGTCGTGCACACTTATTTGTCTGCGGCATCCTAATCCTTAGTCCTCAACCAGTCGCGACAATACATTCTAAAATATTATCGTTTCACGCGCATAGAGAGGCACACAACAAATTATTTAAGAATTAAAATCATTCTTATAAATAAACCATCAGACGATCATCCTTTTCATCTATCCTGCGGCTTGGCTAGAGAAAAAATCCTGGTGGTAAAGATTCGATGACATTCGCCAATTTCTGCGCGCAGAAGCCAGATGATCATTTCAAATTCTCTAGTTGACTGCTACTCACTAGAGGATACAAATTGTTTCGTTGTTTAGTTTAGTTTAATTCATTCGCCGCAGGAATGGCAGGAGAAAGGAACAGAACTTTCGTTCCTATTCCGAGAAGACTAGAAAGTCTAACTATTTGCAGATATTATTACAAAGGCAGCACTTTCTTCTCAGTTAATTAAAGACCCTGAGTGTTGGTCCGGCCGGATTTGAACTCACGACCTCCCGCACAACAGTCCGATTACAGGAATTTCTGATTTTGATCTGGAGTGATATAAAGTCGAATTACGAAAGCAACTGCCAATCATTTAATTTTTTTAGGGGGCCAACTCAACTCAAGGCTTTTGTAGGGGTCAATTCAGTTCAAGAAGAATATATGAACCCATTATTTTCTCTTGGTCCGTCGAATTAACTCTGGGTCATTCTTCGCAAACCTTATCTGATTTATCTACTCTTGTTCGCCTCTGTCTAGCCCGGCCCACAACTTGAATTCACTGGGTTTGCCTAAAATCAACTACGTTTTTCAACGACCCGAAAGGTAGTCTAAGTGTAGCCGTACCCACCCCCCCAAGAAAAACGGGGAGAAAAACCGTTTTTCTTGGGGGCTGGGTACGGCTACACGTCGGCTACCCGAAAGGCGACACTTTCAAGACTGACAGCAGTCTCCCTACATGTTAATTTTGAGAATGATTGTCGATACAACAGAACTGGCGCATAACCTGCAGTAGAAGGCCGCACTGCTACAGGAAGTAAAAAGGGTGTTCGTGATTAGAGCTGGCCACGCGCGGAAATGGCTCTTGCAAGCAGCCGGTAGCCATTAGAGAATAAAGTGATACCAAACGGCCGTTTACGCGAGCTAGTCCAGCTAACTCAAAACACAGTCATAAAATAGAATACAATTAAGTGGTGTTTTCAAATACAATCGCTGAGATGTGTATGATGACGCCGAACACAAATTTCACACTGCAATCAAGGCGCCGTGAAGTTATTGTGATGTACAGTGATCTGAAGTTGATTGTTTGAATTAGGACTCTGATACTGAGCTAATGCAGTTGCTTCAAGGCGTACATGTCCGCCTCGGGATGTTTAAAAGAAAAAAAGAAAGAAACGTCCAAAGTGTAACTCCACAAATGTCCCTCGTCTCTCAGGGAAATCTATAATTACAGAGTTTGTATAAAGGTTCCGACGGGTCTGCTCTTGCAACTGAGTGTCGATTGACTCAGAGAGCATCCGCTTCATAGGGTGAAATTCCTTACCCTCGTGTGCAGCATTTATGACCGTACTTGTCGCTAGGTTTTCAAATGCAACAGAGAGTTCAAGAAGCATTACACTAATTATCTGTCAATTTGTCCCCAACTGGCGCGTCTGCGGACTCAATCAAAATGCTCCATGCATTGTGCAAATTTAACCAACCTCTACAAAACGTATTTGGAGTGTCTGTCAGTCAATATGTTCGGGGATGACACTTATCGACCTCGATGACAAAATTCTATTCACTATGATCTTCACCGAGTCTGCGTTCAAACATTTATTTGTCATCATTTATCGAGCAATGTGACAACAGAATGAAGAACTAAAATACCACATTGTTATCCATCTCGAAGGTTTTCTATCAGTGCGCAGCAGGTTCACTTGAATTAAAAACTGCCCTCGTCATCACTTTCCGTTTTTAGACGATTTTTGGCACGTATGTTTACTAAACCTACAGCAGGTTGGTTTCCTTAGAAACCCTACCCCTGGGTTCTTTGTACACTGGTTATGCCAGCATTATAGATCACAACTTTTTTTCCACCGCGCAACCTAGTATTTGACGCTTTCCCGGTTTCGTCAAGTTCAACCCGTGGTGTTGTGAACCGGGATTGAAATCAGGCACCAATGGTTTTTGTGAAGGGATGAACAGAACTAAAACAATACAGAAGTGTTGGAGATGTACATCACTGTGGCACTACGTCAGACCTTACTAGTATTAATCTTTGCAAATTGCGCTTACAAAATTGTACTTACTCTAGTCGCTACATGTCAGTAATCAAGTAATCACTTGCGAGTTTTTTTTAATGTCGTTAAAAAGATGTTTCAAATTTAACTTGCTCTCTCAATATTCAGATTTTTAACCTCATTAAAATTTTGGTAATAACATTTTTCGACGGCTCTTTTATTTTACCACTAACCTGAAACGCTGAAAAGAGAAGTCGCGTTCTACAAATCGATTCGGGCATTGATATGAGTAAAATACGACTGAGAACACAAAATTAAAAATCGACACTAAAAGACTTTCTCTAAGCATAATTTGACGTAGAAGAATTGTGCTTTCGCAAGTATTATATGTGTCGGGAGTTAATCCACCACAATTCTTTGCAGGGAGGTCTTCAGTGTTTTGTGTAAACAGGCTACACTAAACAATAAAGTTTTTGACATTGAAGTGTAGAGCATTCTTTAGACTATGCAGGATCTCTGTAGGCGCCCGCCTGTCCGCGTAAATAGCTCTTAGTTATATTTGACTCTCGATATTTCCTAGAGCGGGCATCAACTGGGGGTAAACTTCCCAATTTATTGCATAGCGTGAAAATCACGACCCCACGTAGAGGTCTGTGGAATAAAAGTTGTCTATCAGTGCCGGGGAGTTTAGATTATCATGATTAATTTGAGCTCGATCAGCTTGACCAAATAAAGCTAGAACGACCTCTTCTGTGAAGCATTTGGCTCCTTTACAAACTTTGCAAGAGGCGTGTCACTTAAAGATAATATCTGTCATTTTAAATCATTTTCATGGGTGATGCGTATTCTGTCAGTCTCGCAGCTCTTTGTTTTCCGTCGCCACTAGTTTCACAGGGTCAAAATTAAGGTCTTACATGTCTTTTACACAAAGGCTGAACCCCTCTGTTTAGCTGATAATTTCCAGCAGTGGTTTCAACAATAAACTGGAAACTCGAGCGACAAGATGACGAGACGAGATATACATTT